GTGTGTGTGTGTGTGTGTGTGTGCGTGTGTGCATTTCAGTGACCCTGCTGGATACCAGGACAGTGCCAGGAGAGCTGAAATGGGCAGCCAGTCCATCAGAGGGAGGGGTGAGTGGGAACATTTTTCTTCTTTTTTGTATTTTACAGATACAGTGTTTACAGCCTGTTCTCTCTTTGGAAAACACACCATCTCTTTCTCTCTCTCTCTCTCTCTCTTAAACACACACTTGGTCTGGAAACTGTAAATAATCATCCCACAGATTTTGAAATGTGCTGTTGTTCACCAAGCTTAAGTGCTAATATCAGAGTGCTGGCGTTGGCTTTGGCACAGGCGAAGGCATGGACCAGCTTGGTGGTGGGTGTGATTTTTTAAAGGGATTTTTACTACCATGTATTTGCCAGAATGATTCCTGGAAATATCAATTTTTTTAATGTCATCTCCACTCCTCTCATCTTTTTTGTACTTTTCATTGTTGGCATGTTGCGATCTGCCCATCTATGTGTCCTCTCTCTTCCTCCCTCTGTCCTCTCCTCAGTGCGCCCTCACCTCTTTGTTGGTTTAAGAGTTATTGGTGAACTTGACTCGTATTTCTTCAGTCACCAAGCTCTCATTCTCTCACAAGCTGCGTGATTGACGGGGTCTTGGTCTGCACGCACTGAGCTTTTGATTACAGGCCCCCCCACCTTCCGCATCCTTTAGCTACACATACATACACACAAAACATCATTTCTGTATGGTAGGGGCACAGCGTTTTTTTCTTTTCTCTGACAGCTGTGATTTCTGTCTACTGACAAAGACTCCAGAGGAGACCAGACAAGGAGGCATCATACCCTATGACAGCTTTTTTACAGCCCTCCACCCTAATACGCACAAAGACACACATAATAAACAAGCAAAATTACACACTACACAAAGACAGAACCACACGCTCGTGCTCATGCCTACACACTCTTATATTCACATCTTGTACATATAGAAAACACAGTTAGAGAGAAGGAACGTTGGACCGTTGCTGGATTGTTGAGACCAATTCCAATGTTGATAAGTTAAAGCATTACTAAAGTACATTTTCAAAAGTAAACCTCATAAGAAATGAAAAAGTATTATACAAATAATAGGCATAAATGCATTAGAATTAAGATAAATGAAGGTCAGATGAAGCCTATAAAACCTTTACCTTTAGTATGTCTGCTAATCAATATCATTAAATCAATATATTTGTGATGAACCAATATCAGTCAGTAATATCAGTCCCTGATGACATATCGATCAGGCCTAATTGGACACACACACACACTCACACACACACACACACAAACACACACACACACACACACTCCTTTCTCTTTCACCCTCTTTGGACATGGCACATTTGGTGTGTATACAGCTCTCAGTAGTAGCGAGAGCGCATATTATTATTCAGCGGTAATAAAAAGCCAATTTGGAGTTGGGGGGCTCGGCGGTCATTCGAAGGGTCACAGTACAAGGCAAACAGTCGGCTCTATGGAGATGAATGGTGCGGTGAAGGATGAGCCTGTTCCACTTGTATGAAAATGTGACTGCGAAAACCTTGGGAGTCGCAACAAATCTGAGCCAGCATTAACTGTGGGACGAATGTAAGCCTGCGAGGTTTCAAATGACAGCAGTGAATCAGTGGATGCTCCCCAGCTTCTGAAATGTACTTGAACTTGTTTCTCTGTATTTATGAGGCCAGACAGTGAGTAAAAAAAACACGATGAATCCTCAGCTGTGAGCACGCTTTTTCTGGTCACCGCTTCTATAAGAGTATTTCTGACAAGGCTTGTGACTACAGGGCTAGTGATTAGAGTTTGGTTCAAACGTAGTGTTATGTCATTGGTTTTACTTCATGCCACAACTGTTTTGAGACTTTAAAGATATAACGTGTAATAATTCTTCATGAAAATGTCTAAAAATGACTAAATGTTAAAAGATATTTTGACTTGTGTTCTCACATTATCCACAACGATCCCAACAATGTTCAAACCCAGAGTTATCCACAGTTTTATTGTAGATAACGGGATGTTTCATTTTCGTCACATTTTATTGCATCCTTTGTATTGGTCTGACTCATTATTATTCATTCATTCGTTTGCTGCATAATGTGAATAAAACTTTCATACATTAACTCATCAGTGAGCATGATTTAGGCTGCATCAGGTAGATTTTCATTGGTAATGGTGTTGAAGACAACAACTCCCGTCATCCCATGCTGCTTCAAGACATCATAAAACTGGGCCTTTTGTTATTGTTTGTATGTTGATATGATCATCTGATATCTGACACTTGAGTGTCTTCAACTGTGAAAAATACAAGATGCTTCCACAGTCACATTTACCGTTGCACAATATTTGTTCACGGTTTCCCCCAGATTCATTTTCTGACAGCATCACTTGAAAGCATTGCTACTTGGCAGCTGATTATAAGAAAAAGTTGCTCTACCACATGAAAATTTCACAACTTTTGCAATTGATTTTTAATGATTAATGATCTCTGTTATGAAGCATCTGTTTCCATGAAGTTTCTCAAAGCTGATTTTCCCACTGTTGGCATGAACTGAGACCAGCAGGTGTCTGGAAAGTAGGAATTAAATCCAAATATTCATGGAGCGATTTATGAAACATTAGTGTTCACAAAACATGCAAAATGAAGTCACCCTATGCCCTCCCGAGTGGAGTAATACAATCGTGAGTGTGTTTGTTTGTTTGTTAGTGGGAAGAAGTGAGCATCATGGACGAGAAGAACATCCCCATCAGAACGTACCAGGTGTGTAATGTCCTGGAACCCAATCAGAACAACTGGCTCAGGACAGACTGGATCCCGAGGTCCGGTGCTCAGCGGGTCTATGTCGAAGTCAAGTTCACACTGAGAGACTGTAACAGCCTGCCAGGCGTCACCGGCACCTGCAAGGTACAGGATGATCATTCTATGTTCCCTCAACTTTCTTTGACTCATTATCATATTAAGAGAAAAGACGACTGTTGATGATTAATAGACACATCAGTTTTTTTTTGGTTTCTCTGTCTCTTTGGTCTTGTAGGAGACGTTCAATCTGTACTACCATGAGTCAAATGAAGACAGGGAGAGCTACATCAAAGAGAGCAGCTTCATTAAGGTCGACACCGTGGCAGCAGACGAGAGCTTCACCCAGGTAACACTAATCAACTCCGTCAGGGCTTGAGCTCTCTATCCTCCCTCCTCTGCTCTCTTTAATTTGCTCTTATCCTGATAAAATTTAAACCGCCCTGGCACTCGGCTTTAATTTTTTTATTTGTTTCACAAGCGTTTTCATCTTAGACGTCCATTTCGCCATCCCAGGGAGAAGCAGGAAGCGTTACTATCATGACGTCTGAGTTAAGCTTTGTGGGCTTTAAATCTTATTTCACCTCAGTAATCAATAGAAGTTCGTCTGGACTAGAGCCAAATGCTGAAAATGTGAAGATCAGCTGTGGTTGAATTGCAGCTGCCACTTTGGGTTAAACAAGCGGATTGATCGCTGACGCAGTTTAGTGCACATTCCGTTAATCAAGCTCCTTTCTGTTTGCATTCAGGTGGATGTTGGAGACCGCATCATGAAGCTGAACACTGAGGTGCGGGACGTAAAGGTCACAACCAGGAAGGGCTTCTACTTGGCCTTTCAGGATGTTGGTGCCTGCATCGCTTTAGTGTCTGTCAGGGTTTTCTTCAAAACCTGCCCGCTCACCATCCGTAACCTGGCAACTTTCCCAGACACTGTCACCGGAGCTGATACATCCTCCTTAGTGGAGGTCAGGGGGTCTTGTGTCAACCAATCAGATGAGAGAGAGGAGCCTAAAATGTATTGCGGTGCTGATGGAGAGTGGCTCGTTCCTATTGGTGGATGTCTGTGCACCTCGGGATATGAGGAGAAGGGGGGAGCGTGTAAAGGTAAGTTATGCGACAGGAATACTTCACCCTGATTTGCTGTTTGTTTTTGTCTCATCTGATTTGGTCTCCTGCTTTATCTCTCCGCTCCCTTTGTGTCGCCACTTCTAAATCCCATGTCTCAACATTCACTTCACAAGCTACTCGCTAATGATGGAAAATATTATTCTGTGGATTGTTTTAATCAATTTCTGAGAATGTGTTCCAAGATGCAGGCTTAAAGGGACAATCATTGATTGATATGACTTGGAGCCAGGAGACAATTAGCTTAACGTAGCTTAGTTTATCTTAAAGACTGGATAAAGAGGGAAACGTGCTCGTCTGGCTCAGTCCAAAAACACCTTTAAGTCAATAATGAATATATTGTCTATAATGCTATTTGCTGCCTTGTAACCTAAAAAACTGACTTCCAGTCTGTGTGCTAAGCTCAACTAACTGTCTCTTGACAGGAGAATCATTTTCAGTGGACAGTCAAGAGAATGATATTGGTGCATTGTTGAGTTACTTACTAAGGTGTAGTGGTGGACGGAGAGAACAGGAACAATACATTTCATGGAAATAAGTGGAAAACATACTACCATAGATAATTTGCTTTGAGCTTCTTTTGAAATCTAACTCCTAATTACTGCCAGTATTTACAATATCTATATCATGAATCCTTTACATAATCAATATCCTTTTTTTCCTTGTAATAAACCGAGGCTGTTAACAGAGATTCATACAGTCTCTATAGTTGAATGCAGTCTCATGATTAGAAGCTCTCAGGTCCTAGTGTGAGGTGTGCTGACATAACAACAGCCATCTGGACAAAACTGTCTTTCTGTCACTTACAAATCTGGCCTGAACTTTACAGTAACAAATATACAAGCTGTTCACACCTCTCCCCAACATACATGTGGCACGGATGACGTGTAATGTTTGGAACTGACTGTTGTGATTGTGGAGACGACGAAAATGTGCACGTCTGTGCGAGAAAATGGGGCGACCGTCGGACAACAGAGTTGGTGGAGACACTTTAACAACTTCACTCCCCCTATTCAGTTGCACACACAACAGACACACAACATGTTCGCTTGCACAAACACATGCGCAGATGGACAGAGACCAATACAGAGAGAGTGCGGGAATGGAGGGGGACTAATGGATCTGCTCCCTCAGTTTTATTTATGAAGCCTATCCCAGAAGGCTAATTGTATAACAAACAGACCCATAATTCAAAAAGAGAAGAAGAGATGCTGAGAGACAGAAAGACAGAGACAGACATTAAGAGAGGGGTGCCGTTGTTGCCAGTTGGCGTTAAAGAGGGAAGAAAAATAAGTTTCTTTCTTTGCAACAGGAAAAGCAGTTGCCAAAATTTCGAAGTGACAAACGTTCTCTAAAAGCTTTCCCCCCCGCTTAACCCGTTTGTTCCCACTGAAAAGAGGAGGAGGTTTGCGGGGTGGTCCCTGAGGCCTGAAAGATGTTTCTCCTCAACTAGATTTAGGAGAGACCCTTGACTCTGTTGAACCTCTAGCAGATGTGAAGTGCCATCTATCTATCTGCTTCTCCCGTCTCCCCGCTCTTGCTGCCTGTCAGGCTGTTGGCCGGGCTCAGCTGCCTCCATCAAAGTCTGGATAAATACCGAACGCTGCTCAGCAAAAAACTCTGACCCTGCATTATTGGATGGATGCCTTAATGCTTCTCCAATTTTAAGTCTGAATTTCATAGAGAGAGGAAGATAGAGGGGGGAGAGGCAGAGCAAGATGGAAGGAAAAAGCAGATGGATTTGTGAGGAGATTTAGATGTTCTGTGTCTCGTCCCATCCCCGGGGTCAAAAGGTTTCTGGATCTTCTAGACTTCATGTCTTCATTCAGTCACTATAACAGACAGGTAGACTTAGTTAAAACATAGCATGGACAGATACCCCTGTCATTAAAGGCTGCATTGACAAAGTTTCTTAAAGGAATTGTGGAGAACACACACATTCTCTATCCAACAAGATCCTAACAGCCAGGAAATAGTAACCTTCCTTGTAACACCACAACTTATCAATTGTGCACTTTGATGTTTACAAGTCGTAAAATGTTTACTATTGCATTCCTCTCTCTTTTTTCTTTGCCTCTTTTTCCAGAGTTTATGCTAAGCTAAAGCTAATCATCCCCTGATTCCAGCTTCACATGTTAACATGCAGATATGAGAATGTTATCAGTCTTCTCATCTAATTCTAGTGTTATTTCTTTAATTTAATCCTTTTAGTAACTCAAATTATGGTGAATGCTCACAAACAAATCCAGACTCTCATAGAGACAAAATCATACAAATTGTTCATTCATCCTAGTGTTGTGTAAAATCTTTGCACATTCTTCTTCTTCTCTGTTATAAATGTCCACCTGTTATATATAGTACATCTCATTAGTTAGATTCATTGCAGTTTTCAGCTAATTTGTTTATCTTGCAGTTTTTCATTTTTCACCGTCTGCCGTCTCCTGCAGAAATACCTTTGCATTGTCAGTGTGATCTAACTTCCCCCAAGAGCTGCAGCTGAATTGAGCTGAAACAAGAGTCGACTTAGCCAAAGCGGTGAAATGTGAAAAGTTCATTTTCAGTGTTGACACAGAGTAATGAGGATGGAGAGGATGAGAGGAGAAGCTTTGGAGAGGAAGAAGGGATTAGCTGTTGAATGGGGGGAGAGGGGGATTGAAAGAAGGCCACTGACAGCAGAAGGCATCAATGCCGAGCCGCCCCTCCCCTGCTGGGGGTTCGTCATTGGGTGCAAAGGAGACGAGCGGGGAAACACAAGAGACAGGGAACTCCCCCTCTTCTTTAGACCCCTGGTTAAGATCGAGGTCACGACTGAGCCTGATGAAGACGTCAAAAGCTCTGACTGACAGCCACATACACACACACACATATGCACAGAGAAGGAGTTTAGCTGCAGAGTGCAGGGTCATGACCGAGGTAGATGAAGACGTCAAAAGTTTGACAGCTGCGATCCGTCTGGGAGGATCGGAAACAAGGTTGGAGAGACAAGAGGCGAGCGGTGGAGAAAGAACACAGAGAATTTGAAATGTGAACGGTTGGAGAGAGGGAATGACAGAGAAACCTCCTACTTTTTGTTTCACTGTCTCCCCACTGGGTTTTTTTCTGATTCTGTTCACGGCTTGGGAGGGTTGGAATGTGTGTGTGTGTGTGTGTGTGTTTGCATGTGTGTGTGTTTCTGCGTTCCCTTCCATCTGGAGAGATTTCATGGTTATGCTTCTTCTTTCCAACACACCTGCAGAGTCTCGTAAGCAGCAGAATGCGTTTGGACTGAAGGGATGAAAAGAGGGAAGAGAGAGAGAAGAAGTAAAGAGAGACACTCTGAAAGAGAGATGACAGAAAGAGAGAGTGAGCGCATGATAGAGAGAGTGCGTAATCGCTGTATTCAGTGCCTCTAATTATTGCATCGCGTCTCTGGACTCTGTACATGCTGGATTTGTGATTTAGAGTGTGTAGGTGTGTGTGTATGTGTGTGTGTGTGTGTNGTGTGTGTGTGTGTGTGTGTGTGTGTGTGTGTACTCCATATTATAAGCAACAAAGACAGTTTGGAGGACTGCCCGGGAATGCCCAGATAGGAGTGGGACAAACAGAGATATGTGTGTGTGTGTGTGGCAGGTGACAAAGCAGCCAATGACAGTGGAATGGCACAAGCGATTGTCTGTTGTCTGAAGCAAGCCAAACCCAGGTGGGGGGAATGGTTTGCATTCCACCGTCACAATCACAGTATGTGTGTGTGTGTGTGTGTGTGTATGAGAGAGAGCTATTGTCTCCCTCTCCCAGGTTGCTCCTAATGTAGAGGAGGTTTGCCAGCTCCAACAGTCCGTCTGTGGCTCCCTGGCATCGGAACAAGCTTCGCTCTCCGTCTCTCTCCATGCTGCTCTCATTATCCCTCCTTTCTCTTTCTCCAACTCTTCTCCCTGATCTGCGGTCAGAGGTGGGGGGTGGGGGGGGTGCTGCTGGTGGCAGGGGGTGATCGGAGTGTGATGGGGAGCACGGGGGGTGGGGGGCGTATTGTTGTCGAGCCCCTTTCACATGCTAATGGCTGCTCTGTTGGCTTTGGGCAGGCATACCCACACACACACACAAATCCCTTCACACACTTCTCTCTTCAAACCACCAGTGTTTTGTGCGTATTTAAATTTAGACAATCTTAAAGCCGCGGCTTCCATTGAGAACATTCCCAAGGTTTTTAATGCAAACTAACTGTGAGGAGATGTGAGATATGAGATGAATTTGGAACCAGTCTCACACAGGGGTCGGTTTGATCCTTGTGGGAGGCAGGAGATCCTGTCAATGAAGGTATACAGTAGGGAAAGATAAGAATCCTGTCTTCCCCTCCAGCATTTCTGCGGGTTTTAATTAACAGGGCATGACCTCTGTGATTAATAGTGTCCCGCCTTCTCGCGTGACAGTCTATCAATCCGTCCATCCATCCGTCACTCCGTCCCTCCCTCTATCCATCACAGAGACAGGTGTCATAGCGGAGCGGTCAGGGGTACTTCCTTCCAACTGCACCCCTCTGCTGGGAAGGAACAAGAGACGATGACAGATAACACAGGGTCAAGGAGAATACACATACAGTGTGCTGGACGTGGCTCTTAGTTGGATTTACAATGAGCTGCATTTGCATTTTCGTTAGCAGAAGAATGCATATGCAAATGGGGACAATGCTGATAGTAATCAAAGGGCACCTTCCCCTAAGTATCTCTACCTCGCCCCCCCCTGTCTTTTTCTCTCCTCGTCTTTATCTCACGCACCTTGTCAGTCTTTTTCTCGTTCTGTCTCTCCCAGTCAACCTTTTCCCATCCCTTATAGGCTCTGCAACCCTTTTGTATCAAACAGCCCAGCAGCTGATAACAGTGTATTTACTGTCGTGCTAACAGGCAGAATGTGAACATGCCCTCACACACAGCCACACACATCTAACCCAGGTTTCACCTTATCTTATCAGTGTGTGTTTGTGTCCAGTTTAGCTCACGCTCCCGCGCAGTGCAGGGTTAATGTTGGGTTAATGACACCCTCATGAGCTCTTATTCCAGGTCACCAGCACTGCCCCCCCCAAACTCCTTTTCGAAACCAACGCTTAAAAAGACACAAAGGGCTACAGAGAGAACAGAGACATGAGAGGGCACTGAAGGAAGTTTATGGCTTCAGCACTTGCTCCTTTCTTTCCTCCTTTCTTTCTCTCACTTCTTCGTTTTGTCCTCTGTGCTGGAGACAGGGATGGAGGATCGGGTAGGAGACAAAGGCAGCGTGCTACCCCCCGGCGGCGTCGTTTTGAGTCCCTGTAATCAACCTCTAAATCCTCAGCAGGTCAAATACTTTTCTCAGTGTTTTTAACTCCCTCTCGTTCCCATCCACGGCTGACTTGACTATTTTGATGACAAGAAAGAAAGGAATGTACTGAACAGCAGGAGAATGATAAAAATGTGTTCTTGTCTGATGATATCAGCTGACTGCATGATAAGCCATTTGACGGATGAAAGCCGCTCTTATCAGCTATAAATGTTTTTATGATTTTTATGGGTTTAGAGTACAGGGTCCACATGTGCGTCTCATCTGAATCGGTGTCAGTATATCGAGCTGTAAACACCCTTCGCTGGCTTCAAAGCTTTCTCAAGGTTTTTGACGGTGAGAGGGATTCGTACGGGGATGCACAAAGAGTGAGCAGAGGCACAAAGCCGTGTAAGTGGAGGTCGATGAGGAAGTGCACAAGGGAGCAAATGAGGGAGTTGGTGAAAAATGTGAATGAGAGGGCGACTGTGTGACTGTGTGAAAGAGCAAATCTACGGAGGCTCACGCAGATGGGGCAGGATGGTCGACACGAGTAGATTACAGGGGAGACTTCCTCTCCCTCTCATCTACTGATGAGAGTGTCATAAAGCATGCTGACACAGTTGAATACACACACACACACACACACCCAGATCATTCCCACATTCCTATCCACTCCCACTGGGATGTCTTCTTTCACGACTGGGATGAAGACATCCCAGTCGTGAAAGGGTTGTGAAGGGGAAAAGGAGGGAGCCAGGAAAGATGGTGGGATTGAGAAAGGAGGATGAATAGGGAGTGATGATGAAAAAGGTGTTGAAAAGAATGATTGCAGTTGAAACAAATGAAGGATTTCCTTCTGAAATTAAAGAGGGGAAAAAAAACGTCTCTAGCCGGGCACGCTCTGCCATCTCCTTTGCCTCACCAGTGGATGTCAAGCAGTATAATTATACATTCATTTATTGTATTGTTGCTCCATCAATGCATGAAATCCTCCCTCCTCTCCCCCTGTCTTTCCCTCACCCTTTCTCTGTTTCCCCCTCGTTCATATATTTAAATGTCAGTTATATTTGTGTGGGCTGCTGGTGTCATGGAGTATCTGATGTAGTTGCTTCTGGTGTTTCTTGTTTCTGTGTGTGAGTGGAAGCTGATCAGCGAGTGTTCTTTTATGTGTGTGCCTTTTTTTTTCTTTGCTCATCAAAATCAAAGATAAAAGAGGTCAAAGTGTCCCCTGCTCCTCGTGCTGTATCTGTTTCTCTCTCCAGATTTCTCTTTATGCTTTTTTGGTCTGTGGATTCAAATGCGCAAGTGCAAGAAAAAACAACTCCATGTGCTGAGTAACTGTCTGGGCTATCTGAGCGATCGTTTCAGGAGACATCGGCTCTATCAAGGGTCAGGAGTCAGCTGACCTCAATGTTGAATACACTTTTAACCACCTTTTTATTTTTTTACTGTTTTAAAACATCATGTCACCTCATATGCTGATTAATTGTTGATTAACTAAATTTTTGCTCCGTTGTCAGAAAAACTCAAATATATTTAGTTTAGTGTCGATTTGTACCTCCGCCAAGGAGGTTATGGTTCCAGCTTCATTTGTTTGTTCAAAAGCTTCAACTGCTGCCATGGTAACCAACATCTAAATCAGTGACTGAATGCTGCAAATACTACATTATTACATGTGCATGACCATAAAAATCCCACTCCCTGAAATAAGAAATAGTATTCCAACCTAATTTATTGTTAAATTGTAGAAGTTACTCTTATTGATAGTTTTGTGTGTCTTGTTATGCACTGACCCTGGGACAGTGACACACATGTGACTATGTGACTGGCTGATAAGTTAAAAATGACATTTAGCAAGAAATGAAACAATTCAAGCATCTGGTATAAATTACAAAATTGCAAAGATGAGCCCAATCGACAAACTGGCAAATGTGTTAACACCTGCGCAGCTTAACTGTCTTGCAACTGCCTGAATGTCAGCTTTTGTGCCCTCCTTTAAAATAAACTATACAACTTCCCCTCTTTCCCCAATTTCATTAGACCATACATTGCCTTCTAATAGTTTAGTATAGTAGCCTATACAAATACAAATGCACTCCAAATTTGGAATATTTGTGGATAATTATCACTGAATCTTTGAATGTTGTTGACTTAAATCAATGGTACATGGATGAATATTAAAGTAGAGATGTGTCTGTCTGCAGCCTGCTCTGCTGGGTTCTACAAGGCCAAGTCTTCTGATGCGGGATGCTCCAAGTGTCCCCCACATAGCCACTCGCTCAGAGAAGGGGCAACTGTCTGTGACTGCCACTCCGGATTCTTCCGTGCTGACAGTGATCCTGCCTCGATGGCTTGCACCCGTAAGAACACACACACACACACGCACAATAAGATATTGCATGAGTGAAAACAACATGTGTGCATTGCTGGCAAATAAAAGCCAAAAGAACACTCATTGTTTCCCATCCTCTCTATCTTTACCAAACAGAGGGAGACACAGACTTGTCTGAATGCCACCTCTGTTTCATGATCCCATTACTTCTGACTAAGCCACCATCTACATCCTGTCTGGGAGTGATAACTAAAGAAACTGAGGAGTGAATAAATGTTGATCTCCTCTCTCTCTCACTCTCTCTATCTCTCTCTCCACCTCTGTGTGTGTGTGTGTGTGTGTGTGCGTGCGTGCGTGCGTGCGTGTGTGTGGGACAGAGCTAAAGACCTCGGTCTGTGTGTCGTAAACTTAATTATGCCTATATACAGCACATGGTTTCCTTGGCCTGGGAAACATGAACACACACACACACACACACACACAAAGTGAGAGAGAAATGCCTCTAAAGAAAACATCCAAGTCATCGAAAACATCTATGAACAGTATGGTTTTCGGTCTGCTACCATATACGTCTACACTTCAGCCCCTGATGTGTAGTCTAGGATGTGCAGTATATGTGGTTAGTTTTTTTAACACTCAGTTTTGTCCCTGTGTCCTCCTCAGAGCCACCCTCAGCACCGCAGCAGCTCATCTCAGTTGTGAACGAGACCTCGGTGGTCTTGGAGTGGGCACCCCCCCGTCGGCTGGGAGGACGAAGCGACACCAGCTATAGCCTGGAGTGTCTCATCTGTCAAACAGGGGGCCACAGTCGGACCGCCGGCAAAGCCCTGCCCAGGAATCACAACATCTCTCAGCTTGAGGTTCAGCACAGTGGCTTGGGGATGCAGTCAGACCAGGGCATTGTGGGATCAGAAATCCAGTCAGGGAGGGGCGTCTTCCAGGGCAGACCCGTATCTGAAGATTACCCAAGACTCGGCTCTGGCTCTAGCTCTCAGCTCTGCCTTCCCTGTGGCTCCGATGTGCTCTTCTCTCCCGGCCAGACCCGCCTGAAGACCACCAGGGTGGTGGTGACCGAGCTGAGGGCCCACACACACTACACCTTCATCGTCCATGCACGCAACGGGGTCTCCCTGGCCAGCGGTGCAGGGTCAGCCCAGAGTGTTTCTGTCACCGTTACCACCAACCAAGCTGGTGAGAATGAAGAGTGTGATAAATGAGTTTGTCAGACTGTTGACTGTTGCAGTAAAAATGTGCTTATAGATGTTCTGTCTGTATGTGGGTCAGCACAATGCAATCTGCTGCTCGGTGCACATGGTCCACAAGGGAGCAAGGCCCCATGGGTAATGTTCAAAATTGTGTGTAGCATGATATGAACAAGCTCTGTATGTAGTTAAGTGTGAGCATGATAAAGCTGGTGTCCATTCTAAAACACTGCAGAACAGCAACTGCTGATGGATTTTTCCATTACAAAAAGTAAGTAAATGTATTTGGAATTGATATATTTTACTATAATATGTTCTAAATATATATTTTAAAGCTTAAAATCACTGCATGATGCGCCTGTTTCCAAAATGCAGTCCAGAAAAGATTTTAAACGCTTGTGAACTGAATTGCCTCTAAAAAAATCACCGGGAGTAAAATGGAACAAATAAAGGTAATACAAATATCTCAGGATGAAAAAGTATTGCCATACACATAGAAGAGCTTTTGTTGACAGGGTCTGACGCCGATGTGATGTTAACAAAAACACTTGATCTGCGCAGGATATGTTACGTCCTGCATGCTGCTCTGAACACTCCAGAGATTTCGGTGTTATGTGAACACGTCTGTACCGGAGAATCTCCTGCTTCTTTTTTATTTATTAACATTGAAATTATCACGTGTCCAAATTGCACCAAATTCAACTCCGCACTTCCTCTGGCTCTTAACTATATACATGCGGATAAGATAAATGTTATATTATATATAACCTATACATTCACTTTAGATTTGCATTGATTATACAGTATAATACTACAATGGATCGTCACAGAATAAAACCAATGTTGAACAAACACAAAGGACTCATCCATCATAGAACAGGCAGAGATTATTCTCCATTAACATCAGCATGTAACACAGCTACAAGACACTTTCCTCGCCCTCTCTCTCAACTGGAAAAGCTCGCTCTTACTATCACTGTCACAGTTGCCATAGTTATTACTCTGTCCTCCTACACTTAACAACCGCTCAATTAATTGTAGGGGTGTTCTCAAGTGGATGTCAGAAAGCATTCTTGGAAATGTAAATCGCTGACTTAAATACAAACAGACAGAGCTGCGTGAAGATGTAGAGGAAATTGTTGGACTCATAAAAACCTCAGTGAATCTAACTGTGGGATTTTTCTTGCGTCAGCTCTTGACCAGGGAAGTGTTTGAAAAATCACCCAGGTTTTATGGCGTGTTTCATTTTAGTTGTGAGGGTGTCAGCTGGTGTGTGGCGTTTCCTCACACATGCTCTCCATTAGTTTCCTTTTTTGCGTGCTGTTACATCTCAACTGTCATTGGTTTAAGACTTTGTGCTGGCGTTTTAGAAAGTAGCACACCTGCTCAGTTCTGAATTGCCACCCCATGGGAAATAACTTGGCTGTGTGTGCACAGCACGAGAGCAAGTCTGGGATGTGTCACGTCCAACCTGCGCCACCATATGGCCCGGTATCATGTGAACAGCCACAAAGGAGGACAAACACCATAAAGGCCTCGACAATGGAGGGATGTAAGAGGAGAGAGAGTGGAGAATAGGTCTGGTCTCTGTGGAATAGGCAGGAATGGGATTTGGGTCAGTTCTCAGGTGCACAGGGTCAATGGGATTGTTGACAAACAGACAGCGTACATACCTTTGGAGCTGTGTGCAGGCCTGTGAAATGATCACAGATGTTATTATCACAGAACATCAAGTATGTCATTATACAAAGTTACACCATTGTGGCTGAATTATCTCTTTCCATCTCCGTTCCGCTCAGCTCCCTCTCCGGTGTCATCCATCCTCGCCACTGATGTCACAAGGCACAGTTTGTCGTTGTCGTGGCAACAGCCAGATCGACCTAACGGGGTCATCCTGGAATACGAGGTCAAGTTCTATGAAAAGGTGAGCGACCCACAGGTTAATGCAGCTCATGCAGCTTTCGCAAATGTCAATATGCGGAAACGTTGTTTGTATATACCGATGATGGTAAAGATAGATTTCTAGTCAGGCGCTGAAAAGTGGCCCCTCTTTTTTGTCCCGTCTAATCAGGACCAGAGAGAGAGGTCCTACCGCATAATTAGGACCTTCGCTCGCGCTGTGGACGTCACAGGTCTCAACCCCCTCACCGTGTACGTGTTTCATGTACGTGCCCGCACAGCTGCCGGATATGGAGAGTTCAGCACTCCATTTGAGTTCTCCACCAATTCAGGTATTGTGACAATAATGATCAGAACTGTCAGAGCATGCATGAAGCTTTTATTATCGTGATAAAGTTCTAACTTTCTGGTTGGTGACTTTTGTGTCCTTCCCTCATTAGATCCCTTCCCTCTGATTGGAGAAGGAGTTAACTCAGCCTTCCTGCTGCTGTCTGTCAGCGGGGTTGGAATTTTACTGCTGATATCTGCAGCTGTCTTCATCATTAGCCGCAGGTACACACACACACACACACACACACACACACACACACACACACACACACACACACACACATTTAAAAGCATCCAGACCGGCGTGCTGCCCTGTATGCTTGTTAGGTCGGCTTGAAGTTTCCCATCAGTGCTGCCTCTACCTCGACTACTGCTTTTGACAAAACTGCCTTAATGCACACAAACAACACACACACAGCTCTCCTACTTTTGTGCGGCTAAATAATGTGTGTGTGTTACCTGAAGCTTTTAAAGGGGATTAGAGTGGAGACAGTGATAATCCCTTTGTCCCTGACTTGTCATTACTGTCTCCTCACTAGCACAGCTTGTGTGTCAGCTTCCCCTGGCGTGCACAGTCATGCACAGTAGCTTGTGCGAGTGCATGCGCGTGCACAAACACACACACACACACCTGCTCTTCTGCAAAGGTGTTTTTGACAGTTTCTTTGTTTAATGGAAAACACCTTTTATCTTACGCTACCTGAGGCGGTGCCCCTCCTTCCTCTCGGCCTTAAATGCTTTCATCTGCTCGCTTGCCGTCTCTCCTGCAGCCCGTGGCTCTCTGTTCTCATTCATTTTATTGAGGTGAACCCTGGAAAAACCAATGAATGAATGTGCGTTGCTGCAGGAAAAGAAACCAAATTAAAAGCGATGCGACGCACAGTGAATGCCCCTTTATCACTTCACCTAACTGTAAAAGAATCATAACAAAAACCAGAAGTGAAGAGTGACAGGGATGCACTTGCTTGTCATATCTGTCTCTGTGTTAAATGTCTATAATTTCTTATGTCTCATCAGGAGGAGCAAGTACAGTAAAACAAGGCAGGACTCAGAGGAGGAGAAACATCTTAACCCAGGTAGACACACTGCACACACGTACAAGCACACTGTCAAAACAACAGAGAGACAGATGGATGCTCTTTATCTCCTCCTTCTCTCTGCACTTCTTATACATACACTGCCAAAGCCATTTACATAACATATGCAGAAGTTACACAACTCATATTTGATACCCTCCTCTGCACATCTTCCTCTCCTCCCTCGCTTCCTCCCCTCTATCACAGGGGTCAAAATCTACGTGGATCCCTTCACCTACGAGGACCCCGATCAGGCCATCCACGAGTTTGCCAAGGAGATTGATGTTAGCAGTATTCACATTGAGAGGGTTATTGGCATGGGTAAGCCTGGTGTTATCGCTTGCAAACACTCATACAAACCCACACACACATGCCTACTTGGCACTGACGTTGCTGTTTGTTCTGTGTGTGTAGGAGAGTTTGGGGAGGTGTGCAGTGGTCGGCTGCGTGTGCAGGGAAAGAGGGAGATCTACGTGGCCATCAAGAGTCTGAAGGCGGGATATACTGACAAACAGAGGAGGGACTTCCTGTCCGAGGCCTCCATCATGGGACAGTTTGACCATCCGAACATCATCAGGCTGGAGGGCGTCGTCACAAGATGTGAGTGGTAGTTGTTGGTTGATAATAACTTAATGTGCAGGTTTTAATTCAACCTAATGTTTCAAACTCTTTACCCCTTTAGGCAAACCATTGATGATCATCACAGAGTACATGGAAAATGGATCCCTTGATGCCTTTCTTCGAGTATGTGCAGTTTATTCTTCTGTGTTTTTCTGTCTGATAAATATAGTTTGGAATGACGTTCCAGTCAACTGAAAATGTAAAGAAATGTTTCTGTCGTTTAAACATTGCAGAAACATGACGGCCAGTTCACGGTGATCCAGCTGGTCGGCATGCTGCGCGGTATCGCCTCCGGTATGAAGTACCTGTCAGACATGAGCTACGTTCACAGAGACCTGGCAGCTCGGAACATCCTGGTCAACAGCAACCTGGTGTGTAAGGTGTCGGACTTTGGCCTGAGTCGGGTTCTGGAGGACGACCCAGAGGCTGCCTACACTACAAGGGTGAGACACAAAGAATTAATACACTTAAACTAATGTAGGCATATGCTGTACATGTTCATTGATCGATTTACATGCCATTTGTGTGCTATCACGTCTTTCATTCACAAATGTTTTTTTAAATGGTGGAATCAACAAATTCCCTCAGTCACTGACCCAGGTATGACGTGTGTTGCTGTTGTAGGAGGCCACTGGGACTTACCTTTCCCCTGGAGGAAAGATCCCCATCAGGTGGACGGCCCCAGAGGCCATAGCTTTCCGGAAGTTCACCACAGCCAGTGATGTGTGGAGTTACGGTATCGTCATGTGGGAGGTGGTCTCATATGGAGAGAGACCTTACTGGGACATGAACAACCAGGATGTGAGTAATCTTTATATCGTTCAACCTAAGTAATGAATATGACACTTGCAGTACCAACAGCTTCATGTTTCATACAAAATCAATTATGATTCTCTGTTGTTGAGACCTGCATGAATTATTAGCAGTGAAGTTGATGAGTTAAATATTATCAGAAGTGAAAGGGTAGATGATCAAAAATAACCTATAACCCATAAAGTCATGGTAATAAGTTTCTTTTCAAGTTTCCTGTCCAGACAACAGTTAAAAGCTCTGGATTCAGTGACAAACACTAAAATGAAAAACAGTAAAATTCCCAATCAGTCACAGTTTTCTTATTATTTAATTAAAGTTTCCCTATAAATAATTTATTTTCTCCCACTTTCTAGAGAAGTCAATTTAAACTTACACTTTTTTGCAGTGCTTGGATTAAAATGAGCATCTTTATCAGATGAATGAATGAAACAGGCAGCCCGTCTTTAGGATATTTTTAGAGACGACTCTGGGAGGAAAATAAACTGCCCGCTGTGTGACGTGCTGTTTTCTGACCCTGTGTCTTTAGCCTCTGCAAATTTTGCCTTGAAATCATCTGAACAGCAGAAATATTTTTTTCCACCAGTCACAGGACATTTTTATTGAAGACAAATACTTAAACTTAACATAGAGATGACAAGTAATCGCTGCTTAAAATTATCCCTCAGCGACGTACACACACACTTTATAAATTTAGTGGTGATTTAGTTCTGAAGAGTTTCGAAGATCTGAGAGAAAAATGCATTTTCAGAGTGAATTTGCAATCACTTTGCGATCAAAGCTTGTTAAGTTTGAGTAGGTCAAAGAGACCACTCTAGCATATGGATATTTTCAAACATGATTGATTTCATCTTCTCAACTTATGTAGTTTCAGAAAACTTTCCTGATGAGACGTTTTATCCAGAATTTTTTTTTTGTTTTTTTTTTTTGATAGCAGCAAATTAGTACACACTGAGCTGCACTTCACTTTCTCTTAAATCTTGTTTCAGTGAAACTCTGATGTATTGATTTACCTCACAACCAACTATATGTGTAAGCATCTTTTAACCTACTTTTACATCTAAGTCCTCAGGTGTGATCCAGTTATGTCCTCAGCAGAGTTTTATTTAATATTTTCATTTTAGATTTGACCAAAGGTGCATTATTTTTGAGTGTGTTATTGATATAAAGTATAGGCCCACAATGCATTGCACAAAAGAGACACAGGAGCTGCTCAAAGCTGCAGATAAATTAGAATAAATTGCAGATGGTGATGAGACAGCCCTGGAAAGATCTGTGAAAACCAGAAAATAATAAAACTTTTACATTGTTTTATTTCCCTCTTCTTTTCATTTATTCAGCAGTTGTGTTTGAAAGCAGTTTGATTGACATATTCATCTTTTCTCATATAAAAACCTTAAAAGTGGTTTTGAATTTATTTATTCATATGGTAACTGCTAAAAACAGGATGCTGTGACAATGTAGTATGTGTTGTGCGCCATTACAATGGGACTGGGAAGAACTGCCATGTCAACTAGAGAAGTACTTGCAAGAGGAAAGGCATGCAAAGTTCAGTTTGTAGTGCAAACACCCTCAAATAAAACACTATATTGCTAAACATCATCATGTTAGCACTGTCATCATGAGAATAGTGGCATACCAGCATTAGCATTTAGCTCAAAGCACCACGTTGCCAAAGCACAACCTCATAAAACTGTTTCTTTAGTCTTCTAGTTTTGTAATACTTGTGTAAACTCTTTCTTTTGGATGCACCCTGATAAAAACACTAATCCTCCACCTCTATCCATCCTGTAGGTGATTAAAGCGATAGAGGAGGGCTACCGGCTGCCTGCTCCCATGGACTGCCCCGTGGTGTTGCACCAGCTCATGCTGGACTGTTGGGAGAGAGACCGAGCAGAGCGACCCACCTTCAGCCAGATCCTCAACATGCTGGATAAACTCATCCGTAACCCCGGGACTCTGCGTCGGACAGGAGGGGACAGGTGTGTACATGTAGGCAAAGACATGGACAGCAGTATGCAGGGACCAATACAAGTGTCCCTATATGACTGTACATATTCATGTACACAAACTTTCCACCAACTTGTCTCCTCTCCTCTTTCTCTGCGTTTACAGACCTACACCCACCATGCTGGAGTCAGGGATGGGTTCAGAGGTGTGTGTGTCAATGGTGCCAGAGGTGTGTGTGCCGGAGTGGTCGGTATGTGAGTGGCTGCAGTCCGTCGGGTTGGAGAGGTACACAGACACACTGGCAGCAGCAGGATACACCAGCCTTGACAGTCTTCTGGCTCTCACACACCAGTAAGTGTACCCTCATGTGAGAAATGGATTTAAGTGAGAGTCGTTTTTACTCGTCACATTTCTTACTGCCAGAAAAGAAAATCAAAACAGAATCTCATTTCTACTTCTGCACCTCAATCACACTCAAAACTCAAAACGCAGAATAGATTAAATCATATTCATTTTGTTCTCATAATAACATTAACACTGCCTGCGCTGTATTCAACTACATACAGTAAAGTCCCTTTTCCACTGGTCAAAACCCGACTAACTTCTGGCTTTCGTCTGCAATGAGAACGGACACAGTCAGCATTCACCCCCAGGTCAAATGTCTATGTAGTCAACATTTTTAATTGGCTCTCTCAGTCTAGACTCATGTCACTACACTTTTTCTGCACAACCTTACAAAGTGCATTGAACTTCCTGGTGTTGACATCTAAATAACCATGAAAGTTTTTGTATTAATTATTTTTTACATTTTGGTGCATCAGGGATTTTTTTGTCTTCATTTTGTGCAACACTGGCAACACAGCGAGGCGAGAGAGCTTCTCAGTTTTGTTAGGGACATTGAACATGACTCATTGGGGAAAAAAACAGATAAGCAAACTCCTCTACTTGCAATGGGAAAGTCTATTGCCTTTTATATTTGGGTTTAAAAAACCCTGTGTATACCTATAGAGATTTGACAGTGGGATATGTGAAGGCTTCAATATTCTGACGATGAACGAGTTAGTCATTTGTCATATACGTGTTCTGGGCACACGTGAAGGAGGGGTGATGAGTCAGCTGTCACAGAGATGTGTGAAATATGGTTTTTGGACAGACTCACCTTGAGGGAAATTCATGGCATTCCTCTAAGTTGTACACACAAAGAGCGAAGTAGCTGTGAGAAGACTAAACAGAGCTGGAGGAGAAATATTCCAGACACTCTTATCTCCACACACATGGCCAGCGACCGGTTTGTTTGTTGGATTGTCGGCTTCAGAACGTGTAAAAAACAATTCCAACATCAGAAAGGTGTGTGTTTGATGAGTCAGTGTTTGATGATCCAGCAAATATACTGATCCCACATATAGCACTTGTATAATGAGAGTTACCCACATGCTGAGCAACGTGAGCACATCCCTGATGTCACACTGTGTTTTATTTTTATTTAATGTATTTTTTTTTAATGTCTGATGTAGTTTATTCATCTGTGTCATACAACTCCACTGTGAACACAACAATTAAAGGACACTTAGAGACTCATAAAAAAACCCTGCCAGTACATGGGCGACATATTCCTCCACCACAATGAATATGGCTCTTACAGTGTGAATTTACATTGGAACTGTATTCTCATGTTACTCATGCTCAGGGATGTCTACTTTCCTATGTTACCGCTATCTTTTATGTGTTTAAAGAGCTTTGAAAGACAACAGTGGTTTACAGCAATTCAGTTCAATTGTATTTATATAGCACCAAATCACAACTTACATTCAAATCTTAATCTCAAAGAGATTTAAAGAGAAACCTCAACAGTTCCCACAATGAACAACAGTGAGACAAAGAAACAACTCCCTTCTAACAGGAAAAAGCTTGACGGGAAGCACAATGGCATAAACTATATCAGGCTGTGGCTGCACAGACAACTTGATATTATGGTTATAGCTTAATTGTTATACAGGGTTGGCTATTATTAGAGGTGGTGGTAAACAGTGGTTCAGATGAGTCACTGAGCAGAAACTGAAGCCCAGGAAACTCCTGTATATCTAGGGAAACATTTAAATCTCTTTGGATCAACATGTCTGCCAAGTAAATGTAATATTGGTTACGGTTGTTTTTTTACATGGTAATGATAAGGACAAGAAGAACTAAAAATATCACCTTATGGGTGTCTAGGCCAGCCAGTTAAATTACAGGTAATATGGTGATAATGTCTTCTTCTTTTCTTGAGTTATGGTGTTATGGTGAGGATACAGTCTACCTGGCCCTACGAAAGGTGGTCTTTGTGGGCCAAGTGGGGGCCAAACCAAAATGACACGATCTGGTCTAGAGAGGCTTTCCATGATCTGCGTCAGCAGCTCATCCAGGTCTTATTGCAGTTGGCCATGCAAAAGAGCTGAAGACAAGTAGATTCTGGGATTAAAGGAAGCATTTGAAGGAGCCTTTGAAAAGTGACAGCCAAGTAGAGCCTCTGTGATGCAATCTGTCTTCAAATGCAGCCTCCGGAGGAATCAGCCCCTGAACTGAGACACAGCTTCTATGTTCTTGTGGCTAAAAATATATTTTATGAAGTCATAGTGACCTTGACCTTTGACCTTTCACCACCAAATTCTAAATATTTCATGATTGTGCCCAAGTAAATTGTTATTTGTAGGTGTTTCATAGATATCACATTCTTGAAAATAGGAAAAACTAAATTATTATTCCTGCAGCTGTCGTTGTTGAAGCATAAAATCCTGCACTGCCTCATCCTTTAGAAAAGACAAGTCGTAGCTTTATGTGTCTGATTAAGTATCTTTGTCTTTGGACCCACAGGGAGATGGACAGACTGGGAATAATCACACCGTCACACCAGGACAGACTAATTGCCAGTGTGCAACAAGAAATGCTGTCTCAGATGCAGCACATGCAACACACAATGGTTCCTGTCTGAACTGCAGAACTGACACAAACCTGTCTCCAGAAGAATTTCATTTACCTCATTCATGCACTTTAGAGGGACCTTTCACCAGAGGAAATATAAGGAGTGGATTGAAGTGAAAAAATACGAAGTAAGAAGAGGAGAACAAGAGGAGAAAAGCAGCACTTTTGTGAACTTCCATCCTGTGGAGTTTTCTAAAAAAAAAAAAGAAAAACATGGACGCGGCCACAGATAATATTGAGCTACTGAGAGCTTAGACTGAAGCCTCATCCTCTTATTCAACTTTGTTTTTCTTTTATTATCTGTTTTGTGAAGGCTGAAATGTGATGGTGTGCATAAGCAGAATGGCTTCCAACTTTTTTATTTCGCTGCTTTGGGCTTGACTTGAATAAAAATGTGTTTCGTGTTTGCTCGTATGTCTGCGTGTGTGTGTGTGTGTGTGTGCGTGTGTGTGTGCGTGTGTGTGTGTGTGTGTGTGTGTGTGTGTGTGTGTGTGTGTGTGGCGTGAAATCCACACAACATGGAAACTCCCATGTCAAGGCGCCAGCTATCTTTGAATATTCTGAATACGCAAATTTACCAGAGAGAGGGAGGAGCCAGACAGAATGTACCATTACAAGCTCTTACTAGTTTCATGCTGGAGGATCATACTAACAAACTATGTGATTTGCTTGTGTTTTTTTTTTATTCATTTTTTTTGTTTTACCTGTACGAATTATTATTTCTGTTGAATTAGACATTTAGATTAGTGTGTCGTCCATATGTGTCTATGTTCGCGTCTCTTGTTTGATGCTAAGAATTAGCTACATGAAGCATTTTGTTTATTTATGGTATTTTTTTAATCTAGTTTGTACATTGTATAATAGATACACTGAGGAACTATTGTAATGATCACCATATTGCATCGCAATAAATGCCAAAATCTATTTATGCAGGTTTCACTTTGTTTCAGCAGAACATTTACATTGTAATGTATCTAATGGACACCATATATTAGACAAAGAATGGAGTGGAGCTTCAAGCGCTTAATGTTTGTAATTTTTGAGTTTGGCAGAAGAAAATGTCTTCTGTGAAAGTTGAGACTTAGTCAGAGATTCCTGTAACAAGGAAAACAACTCCAGAAGAACACCCTGTGTGTGTGTGTGTGTGTGTGTGTGTGTGTGTGTGTGTGTGTGTGTGTGTGTGTGTGTGTGTGAAAGAGGACAAACACACACAGAGGGAAAGAAGAATAGCAGAGAGAAAAACTGAGGGGGAGAACGCCAGCTTGAATTAAAAGGACAGAATATTAAGAGTGGGCTGTCACTGCGAGTGTCTGTATGGCATCATGCTTTTTGTCGGCTAAATTGGGCTGAGTTTGCAGCACAAACTTGTCAAATCAGCAAACATCTGTCTCACACAGCACCACGATATACACACATTTACACAAACACTGGGGAGTTGATTGGAGGAAGCCTTTGATATATATAAAGGAAGAGAAGATGCGATCTCGATTCTGGCAAAAATGTCAATGTTTTTCCAGCCTAATGAGAGTTGCCTGCAAACACACACACACAATGCACAAGTGAATGCACAGCACTCATACACATACATACACACATATACACACACACACACCACCCCCTTCCTCCCTTCCAATACATCCAAATTACACAGAGCAAACAAAATGCTGATGGTGGTTAATGAGGCAGATGCTCCTGAGTAAGAGACAGAAAGTGGAAGAGAGACAGAGGGAACGAGTCGACTTGGCTTTGGGCAGTGAAACTTGAAAGCTTCCGTCAAATAATGAGACACTGACACCATCAGGTTGCCTCACACACTGAAGTCTACTGGAAAAGTAAAAAAAATACATCTGTTCCTATAGGAAATAACTTGAAATATTAACGATAACAAAATATTGACTTCTGGCTTCCCCTACATGGTCTAACTGTCATAACACGCAAGGGACACAAACTGAAGTACTCGAAGAATAATTTTGCTATCTGGGTACAAATGTTCTCTTCAGCCTCAGCAAATGTTATAATGCAGATGTGTATTTGGATCATTGAGAGTCATTGAGGTTATAGGAAATTGTGATTTGAGCTAAATGCTCAGTGCTAATATAGAATGTGCTGTGTACAATATTCTCCATTCTATTAATTCATGCTAACATTTGCCAATAAGCACAACAAAGTTCAGCTGAGGCCGATGTACCTGCTAAACATGTTACCATTGTCATGGAGACATTGTATGAGGCGATTAGCATTTAACTCAAATCACAAAAGCATGTGCTGCAGGCTTTAATAAATGTGTGGTTCTGTAATGTAAAGAGCAAAGAGCTCTGATGCCCTCCATTTAGCAGCAGCACATTTTCCCATCCAGACACTTGTGATATAATCCTGGACTCAGCGTCACAAATGGACAACCATTCGCATTCAGTGCCACAGAACGAGGCCTGTAGGTGTTCCAAGTCGTGACAAAGGGGATCGATCATAGGGATAAAAACGACACAGTTTAAGGCGGAATCCACATTGACCGATGGTAGAGTGAGCAGTAGTAATTTAACCCTAAAAGACACTCTTGTTATATTGAGGAGGGCAGATCAAATCAAATCTTTCTGTCTCTGTGTCTCAGTGGGAGGAGATTGTGGGGTTTTGTCCCCAGATAAGTGCGAGTATAGAGGAGGCTAATCCTGCCCGCTCTTCCATGTGGGAGTGGCAGTGGGGAGTCTTTGCTGCGCAGCCAGCCGGAATCTAATGGCTGTGAGATTGAGCTTTATACACAGGCACGCTCACTCACACACAGCCGCAAACACACAACACAAAGTCCAGATTTGTTTCAGGATTAAAGGCATCACCTCAGCGACTGACATTAGGCCACAGGCATTCCCACGGTAACCCCGATGAGATTGTCTGCGTGTTTGGTTGTGTGTATGTGAGGCTGTGTGTGTGTGTGATGCTGCCGATGAGAAATACATAGAGCAAGGGGAGAGCACAAGAAAATTAGAAGAGGCATATCTGCACACACACACACACACACACACACACACACACACACACACACACACACACACACACACTTCGTCCCACTGGAGAAGCAGCTGCACAAGTTGGCAGGCCATGTCCCTCTCATTATGCTGGCCAGTCACTCGTGTCCTGGCTCTCTCTCCCCTGCTGCTGCTGCTGCTGCTGGACAGGTAGCATCTGACACACATTAGCCTGCTATTAATGACTTTCGCTGCAGCCATTATCGCACACTTAGGGAGAAACATCCCCAGGGTGCCATTTTTGCAGTTGCATGCATTATATATTCAATAAAACATCCAGTTTTCTCAAAGTGCAAGCAAAGCAATGATTTGGTAAAACGAGACTTGGTTTAATTTCACAGAAAGCTTTTTCAGAGCTGCACTCCTATGATCTGACCAGTCCTTCAGTTTCTCGTCTTTGTCATTTGTGATGGTACCGCGAGTTAAGTCCAGGATTTCCACGAGCTGCTCTCAGAGGTGGCTCAAGGAATGTGAGTGGGTGTGGCACACGGACCTCCCACATCAAATTGATTGTTTACCCATGAGCCCCAAGGGAATACCACTGTGATTAACATTAATCCTACAAGTCTGTGCACAAACAACAGGAATACCATCTCAAGATCTCCAACATCAACAGCAGGTGTTCAAAAGCCTCAGTGACGTTAACGCTGTGTCTGTCCAGATTAAGGCTTGATAGGTCCATACACTATCATTCAATACAAAGGTCACGGTCAGTTGACATGTTCCCATCATTTTTTCTTTCCAATCATTCCGGCCATACTGCAGAGGAATCTGTTTTTGTATTTCATGTCACAACCAGGATCAATCTTTGTTAACTTGCTCTGCAGATTATTCTAGTTAGTAACTTGTCTTCATTAGACACAAATCAGACACACGCTCGCTAAGAAGATTAGAACAAGAAACCAGTCGGCCATAGCTACGTAAACAAGCTTAATAAGGAAATAGAAGATGTGAGGATTTAAATCACACACATCAATAGAAACTCTACTTGTCAGTTGGAAGTAAATGTCAAATTTGCTTTTCTGAATGACTCAGATCTCTGTGCTGTCAATGTATCCATGATCAGCATATTGAATCCCGCACTGCTAATTAATTTCATAAAATGTGATGTTTTGCTAAACATTCAATTTAGTTTACATTTTTTATATGTTAAATTTCCCCAACAAGCTTTTTATTGAATTAACATTTTTTGGCTTAAAACTAAAATGAACGTATTATTTTCCCACTTGAGGCAGCAACATAAAGTTGATACAGTCAACATGTTGTCATGTTATGTTGTGATTAAGTTCAATATTCACTTTGGCTCTGTTTTCACAAACTCACCAACTCTGATTCTTTTGCTGCATAAGGCTCCACATTATTCACCAGCCAGTCGCAAACTTTGTTTAGTGTTGAGAAGGTAGAAAATAGTTTGATTCATCAGAACTTTATGTTAAAACCATTGCAGCACCACAAACAAAGTTATTTAGACGTGCAAGACTGAAACAAAATTAAACAGTTGCAAACAGTGAACTTTAAAACGCTGACACACTTCACAGAGCTGATGGTTTGTGGGTTTGTCACTGCAGGGAACGTCTTTCATATTATAGGTAGTAGTTTTACCTTCTCTAAAAAGAAAAGCATTCAGTAGCGCAGCTTCAAACAGGGTTAGTACCTTTTTCTGGTTTTCGCAATGTCTGCATTTTGACACAAAGCTTAACTTCTGGTGTTTATAAACTTAAAAAAGTTCTGTAACTTACTAAAACATGCTTGTGTTAAAGGATCTGTCGACCTCTGCTCAGTGGCTGATTTCTGATGATGTCATATGAGCCAAACATAAGCCACATGACCATAGACTGTGGCTGTTTAATACATTGATTTATAAAGATGGACATCATGGCAGCTCCCAAAAGTGAAGCCAAAATGTTTTGATCGCTCCCTGGTGATTGGCTGCAGCATAGGTCATAAAGCCTGCCTCCACCATCTAAGTGGATGGGACATGGTCCAAATAGAAACATATTAAATACATTTTCTCAAAGATGGTTTCAGTCGTTTAAGGTAGTTCTTACCAAACTGTTGTTTGTTCAAGTCCTTACATTTTTTTGTTTCAATTCGTTGTTTGATGCTATGAAAAAAGGAGTGGAAGGTCATGATTGACAGCTGAGAACAATCAGAGGAACTCACTAAACGCGACTCCATCCCCCGATCACTACTGTGAAGGCTCTGGCTCCAAATGAAATCTTTGGTGCTAGATGGTAGCTTTGTATGTGGGATATCCATCTTTATATAAAGTCTATTGTTAAAACCTGCTGCGACATACACTCACTACACTTATAATATAAATGCAGTAACCTTCACTGATCACAAAGATAGTCGATTGTGATGAAAGAAAACGAACGAAACTTCTAAAACTGACCCGATGAACATCAAACCAACTCCACTGAATTAGACAGAGAGACACACCACGTATATCAGACACAAACATGAGAAAGTAGAAGCAAGAGGAAACAGCGAGTCCACACGTTTGTTTTAAGATCCAATAATGTGAGGATTCTTAGACCCTGTACAAGTCGAGCAGTGGGGTGAAGGGACATTATCATATTATCAGAGTACGTCATTGACTCAGAGACATGGAGCCACACAGAGACGAACACCATTACTGCTGTTTGGAAGGAAACTCAATCTCTTCTCACTGTGTAAGCAGAGATGTGCTCCTGTGTGTTTAGTGCATTCATCCTTGTCATTCAATTTCAATATTTAGTCGAACCTCCACGGCTCCGTCAGCCTCCAGGTTTGATGAACTTCTACAAAAGCACTGGGGCTGCATTTATTTTCCATTCCAGCAGAAAGTGAAGTGAGTGAAAACCCCGTGAGCGAGAGCGAGGCCGATTGAAATGAAATGAGAGATGGCTGGAGAGGGAAAAAAGGGAAAGTTTTGTCCTTCATCAGCCCTCCATTCCTCTATCCCTCCATTTCATTAAGGATGGATAGATGATCAATAGGAGAGAACGGCAGAGGGGGATTAGGATTAGAAATCGATGGCTTTGTTTTCTTCGGCCTGCCAAAGATAAACACTGCCTTAAGACACTGACAGGGCAGCACAGAGACTTTCACGGCTTTTCATCTGTGTGTGAGAGGGCATGACATTCGCTGTGTGTGGACAGACAGACATCTGTTTGCAGCTTCTCATGCTGAGTTAAAAAGAGATGCTTCGATCCCTTCATGAGATTGGGCGGGTGGGGGATGGGCACTGATCCAACTTAGTAGTCGTCTCCGACAGTGAGATCCACGCGAGACTCTGCTTTCTATTTTTTTTCTCTTGCTCAGTACGCTGCAATGCCAGAGTGGTTGAAGTGCACACGTTGAACTGTGCGTGGGAGCTGCAGGTTGTGTGTGTGTGTGTGTGTGTGTGTGTGTGTGACGGATCAGAGATTGACTGCTAGTTCACAGCAAGTCACCGATTCAAGACTGTCTGAGAATAGCTGGAGATGACTGATGAAGAGGTGGCATCGTAATAGGTTCGCTGCAAAGAGGAGTGATGCTCCTAAAAGCTCCTGGTGGGCTGTAAGAAGCAAGGCAAGGCATTCTGGGTAGGTGAGGCTACACCTCCCACACAGAGATTCAAAAACATGCCCCCTGCTTTGATCTCTCTCTCTCTCACTCACTCCCCTTCCATGTCTCTTCTCACACACACACACAACACACACAACACACACACACACACACTTGTGTCTGCATGACTACAGAGGACATTACATTGACTTATCCATAGTAGTTACCCTTACCCTAACCCTTACCTTAAATTAAACCTTAAAATGCAATGACTTATATTATGGGGACATGATTTTTGTCCCCATAAATTAGTGAAGTTTGGGGCGGCTGTGGCTGAGGTAGAGTGATCGTCCTCTAACTAGAAGGTCAGCGGTTTGATCCCATTCCGCATGCCTAAGTTTGCTTGGGCAAGATACTGAACCTCAAAATTGCCCCAGAGAAAGTGCTTCACATAGATGCACTGTGTGAAAGTGTGTGTGTGTGTGAATGGTTGAACGGCAAATACTGTAAAGCACTTTGAGTTTAATCAAGACTAGAAAAGCCATTTACCATTAGGCTACAAGTCCCCATTATGTGACTGTGTAAACAGATTTGGGTCCCCACAACATGGGTAATACCTGGAACACACACATAAACACACACACACACACGCACACACACGCACACACACGCACACACACGCACCCTACCCTGTTTGTTGTGGCTTTGGCCCCTCTCTCCTTTGAAAGAACAAAGACATTTGTGTATATTTCCAGGAGATGAAAGCTCAGCTCGGTGACGCCTCATTTCACCTCAGCTACAAATGCTTAATAATTTTTTGTAAATTCATCAAATCTTTTTACAATGTGCACTCTTTCCTTGTAATCATTTGTATGTAGCTTTTTTCTGTGTGTGTTTTTAATGATGATCGTGATGATATTGTCTCTATTCTAAGTCACAGGTGTCTAATGACCGATCCCAGCCTGCACTTGGCGGACACAGCTGGGGGGAGGAGCCGCAGCAGCATAAAGACATGAATCAGATGTGCATGAGTTTGGACCCTGTGAAAAACAACGAGAGCAGCCTCAAGTGGACGCTGGTTGATAATACAAACCCCGCTCAGAGAGGGTCCCTTGCCCAGCTGTATTGTGGTTATTGTCAACAAATCCCATGAAAAGATCAACACTGTGTTTTAGTACTTATATAACCAGCTTCTCAGCCCCACACCTTTTGAATATGCCACTTGTAAAAAAAAAGATCTTAAAAATGTATAAATATTGTCAGTAAAAAGCAGACCACTGTTGGCTTTCATTCTGATCATTCTAAGAGTAAACATTTTTGGGGACTATTTTAAACCAATGTGTCAGATTGATTCATGAAATAAACCAGCCAGTGTGTTTTAGACAACAGTGCAGGGCTGTGGCACTGAAAACAGGCTTCTTTGATAATTCTCTTTGTCTCAATCCTTCAGTTGCACCACTGAACTGGTGACGGAAAAACTTCATGAAGACAGTGAAGGAATAAAAGAGTGTGTGTGTGTGTGTGTGTGTGTGTGTGTGTGTGTAAGTATAATAGGGTAAAAGTAGGGAGAGGGTCAGTTCCTCTCCCTACTGGTTGGTAAGGTGACTGACCTGACACTGAGCCACACTGAGGTGTTCACATGTAACGCGCACACACAACGATGTGTAACCACAGTGTATGTGCAACGTATATATATATACATAGAGAGAGAGAGAGAGAGAGAGAGAGAGAGAGAGGGAGAGAGGGAGAGGGAGAATGAGAGAGAGAGAGAGAGAGAGAGAGAGCTAAGATCCCCTTGGGCTGCCATTATCTTAAGCAGCAAAGCCTCTGTAGATATAGAAGAAGAAAAAAACACCCAGCTCCAGTGAAACAATCAAGATTTCATCTAATTATGTTTGTGTTAAAATTTCAGTGTGATGTGGAGCGTGAGGTACAGGGCTTTAAATATGGGCCTATCTTTTATGATCCATCAGGAACACACTAAAATGAATTATGGTCTTCAGGCAGCTGGCATATGTCTTTGTGCAATTTAATTTTCCAGCGCAACTCAGGTTTTTGAATTTTCCAGTCGTGCAACACGGAATTCAGTTTAATATGAGGCAAGACTGAAAAATGTATTAGGACATTATGGTGCCATCTAGTGCCTGATTATGCAATTAACCCGGATGTTTGCTTTGTGCATCTGATCATAATAAGAACACTCAGATCTACTACTAATTATTTTTTACACAATATAATCTTTAATTTCTTTTACACAGTGATCAGCTATTAACACTGTTGACCATAAACTGGCAGGTTAATGTCAGCATACTCAAATGATACAATAATAAGTTACAGAAGTGCTCACAGACAGGAAGTTTAAACACGGCCAGGTTAGTTTTCACTGAGTATCACCATGTATGATGGATGAAAGGAGGAAGGTGTTTTCTGTGGTTTCTCACTAAACTGTACAGAGAAGTTCAGTTTGTTAAATCCAGCGTCGGTACATCCTTTGTTTGATATTTCTCAGATATGTCACAGCCAACATGCTCATAGCTGCTTCAGACCTTCATGATTTATAACAATAAATGGAAGTTACATTTAGCTTTTGACATTTTGATGATTAGGCAAGACAGAAAAATCTCCCAATCACACATCACATGCATGCGAACACATGCACACGCTGACACAGGAGGGGATGTACAGACTTACATGCATGTGCTTAAGCACACACAATACACACTTTCTCCACAATATACAAAAGATAATTAGATTTTTTTTTCTTCTCAGTTGATGTCCATTTTCTAAACCTGATAAGGTGTAAATGCATGGCTGCTATAGATCTGGTATTTACGCATAATATAATACTTTCTATATATTTACTTTTTTTAAAATGATTGCTTTTAAAATGATGGGAGTGAAATATCAAAAATGAGTTTGTCGATAAGGCATTTTGAAACACGACCATTCACTGTCATATCAAGTGGATCACCAAACACCACTGGAGAAAAAGAACACAGTGCAAACACAAAACATCATTGACCGTTTCAGTGTTGTTTTTTTACACAATAACTAACGACAAACATAAATGATTGCAAATGACTGATAAAGTGCTAAAAATTAAGATTATATACAGCATTGACATGTCCCAAATGAAAAATAAAAGCATGAATAAAGTCATAATCAGTCAAAAAGAGGAACTGATGTCCCGTCCTGTACGTCTGTATTGCATAGCCAGAGCTGGCACAGTGCACCTCCACAGCAGGACCAACAACACCAGAAATCATCCATAGTTCATCTCTCCCCTTGATGTCAGTCAGATTGTCCATGAATCAATAGTTTAAGATTTATGATTTTTTTCTTGCATAATATTTTGATAATCGTTTGTCTTTGCATTGTTGTATACTTCTATATTCCTTAGGGTCTGTCACAGTTGGCAAAGCGGGGCGTCCGCGTGCAGCTTGGCCAGCCAGAGTTGAATCTTCATCGAGTCCTGGCGGCTTTATTATTAAAACCTCTCAGCTCCTCTATATGGAGAAAGCCTCCTGCTCCACCTGTCCCTGCCGTCTCCACCTTGAGTTACTGAGAGGAGACCAGGGCGAGATGGAAACAGGAGATTATAACAGCAACACAGCAAACAAACACATGCACTCACCCCTGTTCTGTGCATTAGCTGTAAATCCTGAGTGAAATGCACACTCACTGTCTCACTCTCCCCATCTGAGCCCCGTCTGGACTCTGAGCTGAAGTGCAGAGGAGAGTACACCCAGCTCCGATCCTCCTGAGTCTGCCACCGTCACATTCATCCGACAGAGGGCAGCAGCGGAGGAAAGAAGAAGAGAGCAGAGGATGAGTTGGGAAAACACATTTATGAAGAAATCAAGTTGATTAAAGCTGAACTGTGCGATTTCATATGTTCGGTCAGTTAATATTCCTTATTCCTTATTACTGTCGAGAGGATAATGTTATGTTTTAAATATGAATCACTTCTTGTCTGTAGAAATGTGCCTACGTTTTAAACTGCAATTTAATTTAGATGAAATAAGAAAACATGAATGGATGAAATTATATTCTGGCTAAATGGGTGTAACATTACTTCCATCCACCACCTGGGACAGATAAGATCCACAATGAGCACACAATTTTCTCACTTTTTCTCAAGTCTAATTTCAATTTCATATCAGATTTGGGTTATGTTCTACCTTTTCCTGAATGATTCAATGTCAAGTGCATCAGTGTTCAGTCACATTAGAATTTAATTTAATTTAATGGGTGCTCACGTTTTCTTGCCAGTGGTGTCAAGTGCAGCTTTAATGAACAGGTGATTTTTATCTTCACACAGAGGATGTCATTCTAGCCAAGCATCGACAACACTGATCAGCTCCTCTGTTCTACCTGGGTGTCAGAGTACACAAGCTCGAGGGATCAATAAGCCAATACAAGCGACAACAGGTGACTAACTGCAGGGCAAGATCCTCAGACACTTAATTCACAGTTTATGTAATGTGTTATGTGCAGATGCATGCTTCCTGTAAATACATAAAAAAGCTGCATGGGAAGGTGCAGTTTTTACATGCAGTACCTTTTTTTTGCACATGACACTAAATAAGTTATGTGAAAATCGCTGTAACTTTATTTTTAACTCCTTCTGAGGATCTGTGCTAGTGACAGTCCCAACAGTCCCTGGAAATGCCTCTGTCTATGGGAACATCTCCCAGCATTACAAATGACTCCCACTACCCTGGTGGTGACTTACATTGTAACTCAAGCTAGAGTTTAGCTTACGACGGCCAAGCACTGGAGAGTACACCCAATATCTGCCGTCTGCATACTGATGGATGGACACACACAGATGAAGACAGAGATAATGTGTGGGCAGGAAAAGAAAGGGAATTGAAATATTACACAACAAAAGAGTAATACAAGGGGATGATGTGAAGTGATTATTAGAGGCTGGGAAGAAGAAAGAAAGTAGAAATGGAGAATAAACGCAATAATGCATGAGAAAAATTTCATACAAAAGACAGAGGAACAGAGAGCTGTGCATGACAGTGATGGGCGAATGAATGCAGACTGACAGATGTAAATACATCATGCTGGAAGGAAAGACAACCCCAGTGTTTTGCTGGTGCATCCAAAAGCATGAACTCAGATCAAAAGCATTTTGGACAGCGAGAGCAACGCCGTCATACGTGCATACCCCAACACACACACACACACACGCACGCACACACGCCCTCACCCCCTCACCATTACAACTCTACCACGCTGTCCTGACTGTGCCACTGCAAGAGACCCAGTGGATAAAAGAAAAAGAGAGGAAGAAGAAAAACCTTTACTCTCTGGAAGTGGATGTATAATGTATATTTAGTATTATAATTTCTTTTCCTGACTGTCTGGTAGTGACACTTCACCATTAACTTCACTTCTTTGAAACTGTTTTTCATAAAAAAGGCACCGAAACAAGACGATGGCAAACTTACAAAATAGATGTCGGACACCTGCACCTCTCCATCCAAAGAGTTGTGACTGCTGGACAAAGACAGCTGATTGCACGACTTGCGCGGCTCCTGCTGAGGCACCTGGGGACTCGGAGGGACAGAGGAGGGAGGCGTCGAGGGGAGAGGGTGAGAGGAGCTTTGGGTGGGGGAGTGAGGAGACGCGGGGCAGATGGGAGTAAATGCCGAGGCGGGAGGAAGCGTGGAGGCGCTGGCCGAGGTGGGACGCGTGGATGGTGCGGCCGAGTGAGAGATTAGAGGAGAGGGAGTAGAAGACTGAGCAACCGTGGGAGAGGTGAGTGGTTTGGTGGACGGACAGATGGATGAGGAGAGCGTGGTGGAGGAAGACTTCCTGGTGGGTTGGGCAGCAGAGGAGGAAGAAAGAAGGCAAGGGGGAAGGGTGGAGGAGGAATGTGCTTTGGATGGACTGACAGAGGGAGGGGTGGATGGAGGGAAGGTGCGGGGCTCATGATCAGGTGACAGGTGGCTGGGGGAGGTCATGTCTGTCATTTGTGTGAGCTCCGTGCTCTGGGGGATTTTACTATACGAGGAAGAAGAAATAACACTGTAAAAATACTGTCACACAGGCAGCTAAGGACATTTTCTATTATTTTCTCTTGTGAATGTGTTCACCTTAACTCCACCTCCACTGTTATGGTGTCCTGCTTCTCCCCATGAAGCTCAACCACCTCTTTTTGTGACCTGAAAAAACATAAAGTTTGATGAGTGAATTCATGCCCTGTCTTACATTTCTACATTTTCTAAACAGAATGTTACAAATCAGATAAAATGCTGCATATTCTCACCTGATCACACTTGGTGAGTTCAGTTGTTTCCTGAAGCGCGGGTGCTCCGGTGTATCGAAGGGGGTGGTGGGTAAGGAGTTGTTGGACGAAAGCGTGGTGGCAATAGATGCCGTGGTGGCGTCTTCAAATGACGGAGGAGTGCAGGGTGGTTCTCTCCCTGTAAGAGAGAGGAAAATTATATAAGAAATCACAAGACATGTGCACAGCCTCTGTATTTGTATAGAGCTTATTTTTGTCTTGATAAACACTTTCCAGTGTTTTTTTCCATTCACGCACACATTCATACAGTGCCTATGTGCTGCAATTTCCCTGTGAGAAGTGGCAATTCAGGGTTCAGTGTCTTGCCCAAGGACACGTTGGCATGCAATAAAAATGAACGAGATAAAAAATAAACAAAAGAAACTGAGGCTAAACAAGCAGGAGTGTGATTGAACCTCAACAATTCAAGCAAACTGCCTTCTAGATGTTTAACACATCCCAGACAATTACTGTCGATGGTGTTACTGTGTTCGTTTTGTGTTATGATCACATTAAATCTCTATATAGTCTCAACTCGTTTAAATTAAGTTTTAATTTGATTCCCTTGAAATTGCTGCTATTTCGCTGCTGCTCTTATTTCTCCTCAGGGATCAATTAAAGGGTCACTTCATGTCATTTAAAGAGACAATGCAGCTCTCAACTGCACAAAAGTGAAGCTAATGACTTGCTAAATTTAGAAAGACACAAAGAAATGAGGGGAAACTAGGACTCACCAGCTAACTCTCTTCACCTCGGTCAAGGAAGTTATGTTTTTGTCTGTTGTCCCAGGATTATACAAACACTACTGGATGGATTACCAGGATATTTGGTGGTCAGGACAGAACCCATTCAATTTTAGTCTGGATGTGGATCAGGCAGACTCTAAACAGTCTCAGAATAATGACTTCTGGGGTTGTTTGGAATGAAAAGTGTCTTTAAATCACTGTGGTCTCAGAGTTAATCCTACCGTTGCCCTCCAGCATTGGGAAGCTGTGAGCTCCGCGCAGGTTCTCCAGGTTGTCAAGGTTGTCCAGGTTCTCCTGCCTCTCGTCACTCACTGAGGGTCTCTGTCCAGCTGAACCTGTCCCTGCACTGGACTTCGACATGGAGAGAGCCCCTCGGCCCCTCTTAGATGGAGAGGATCGCAATGCTGTAAAAAGCAAGGGACACGTGCTCTCATTCCAATGTGCCAGTTATTAATATGAAATTAATTCGTAATGTTGTCATCAAACTGAATGTAGAGGAGTATGAGGTTCATGCACAAATTACGAGACTCACAGCTGCTCTTCTTGAACACAATGGTGCTGCAGAACTTGTAGAACCTCTCAGCATAGAAAGCTGGTCTGTGGACTGACACTGTGTCCTGTGGACAAGCAGAAGTGGAAAAAAAGAGACATCAGGTCAAGGCAACTTATTGATGTGCACTCAGACATAGTGACAAAATGTCTAAAAGTGGCAAAACATTCAATTCATCATGACGTTCTGGGGTTTGTTTAGCTTGTATACTATTGTACACCAGTTGTGAAAAAGCTACTCACCCCATCATGGATGAGCGACTTCCAGGAGTGCTCCAGTTTCTTAATCAGTCTGTCAGACAAGACAATCAATTATTTAGCTCAGCCAGTGACTCACTGTGGTTACCTGGCAACTCAGAGGCTGAACCAGAGGCCACCGTCCTACTTGCATTAGAAGTTTTAGATTTGTATTAAAATGATCATATCTGACCCCCTCACAACTGTCCACACTTCACAGTTTACTGTTTCCCCTCCGTTTAAAGACATTAAGACATGTACTGTTTCTCTGTGATCCTTCACCATCTTCTACTCTTCCTTGCAGACACATCAAGCCCGGATTTAAATCCAAACCCCGAGCATATCCTTAGTGTGAAGCCATGGAGAGATTTATTTTTGTCTTTAAATCTATCCAATAAAAATAATGAAGGTAACTTAAAGCATTAGTATTTAATTTATGAATGTATATTTCTTTGTCTTCATTACAAAGAAAATATGAGACCCTGGTCAGAGAACTGTCCATAAGAAATTAAGATGTTGGGGGGTGAGGGTTATTAACCCGTTTTCCATTCAACATTTTACACTGTGGAAGACTCGGAAAGAACAACATTTAAATTATGTATTAATTTATTCATATTAAAAAGGTAAACTGTGAAACACATTCAACTGCTGCATTTTCTGGTTGCCTACCTGTAGGACTGCAGAATATCAATAATCCCGATAAACAGCAGGAGGCGCTCTCCCTTACCACTGACAGCTGGAATGCCACCCATACTGCAGACAGAGAGGAGAACATTACCATCACATGAACAATTAAAAGTGATGATGAGGACATATGTATATATACTGTATATGTAACTCACGTGTCGTCATGGTCCAGTGTATCCCTGCAGGTGGAGCCTCCCTGTATAGACTCCATAGCAGTGGAGTACAAGGCTCTCTGGGCTGCCGGCTTCTTTTCATCCCCGCCGGCCGAAGGCGAACCCTGGGACTGATACTCTCTCTCTGCTTGGGTCTTATTGTGGACACCAAGCAGCAAACTGTAGTCCATGATCTTAAAACTCTCCAGAACCTCAAATGAAACACACAGGAACAACACTTCAGAACAAGCTTCCAAGAGAATTACATGTTTACCTTCACTAAGAAGGTAATGCTTGTTTGTTATTGAGCAGGATTACACAAAAACTACTAACGCAATTTCCTTGAACTGTTGTGGAGGGGTGGGGCATGACTTAAAGAAGAATTCGGTCAGGATCCAGGAGGTTTTTTCCTCCCACTTTCTCTAACATTGCTGATAGGGTGTTTTACAACATTATCCTCAAACTTTACAGCCTGGGGCAATGGCGAAAATTAACATATGCACTAGATATACATAAACCACAAAATCTACTCTTTTATTCTGCCTTTTGCTCTATAGTTCATCCAATACTAGATGGAAATTAAAGGAAAAACCAAATAAAATCCATCCATCTATAATTTCAATTGTTTATCATTTTGAAGTTCGCAGGTAAAATAAAATAAAATAAAATGCACGCTGCTCTTCTACTTCTCTACTATTCATCCACCTCCTCCTCTCTCTCACCAGACAGTCTCTCTGTAGCGTTTTGACCAGAGCACTGTATGTGTCTTGGTCCAGAATGAGGCCTTCAGGAACGTCACACAGAAAGTCCAGGTCTTTGAAAGTAGGTTTGGACTTCTCTCTCTCCTTCTTGGAAGCTCTCCTCTTGTATGTTGAGCCCTTCAGGTCGAACTTGAGGTGCATGCGTACGGAACGTGGTAAAATGTTGTTCATCACGACAACTCTGATGTTCTTCCCCCCACACTGGACGCAGTACAGGCCAAAAAACTTTGGCAGCAAAGTTCGGGGGTTCTGGTTAAGGTTCTGGAGAGAGGGTGGTGGAGAAGATGAAGGAAAAGAATAAGTGTTATTCTGTAACAAGTCACGTAGTCTATGTAGTTTGGCCTCAGTACCATGCACCTGCCACTTAGCGTGACCCACCCGCAGGCCTGTGTGCATGCTTAACCTGTTATGAAGTACTTAGCCCAGACCTTTGTCAGGTTCAACCTCTCTGCTCTTATCTCTTACAGGGCTGCCTGCTGGCGTCACTGCTGACTGAGGCCAACACCAACGGGTAAAGAGGATAAAGATGAGCACAAGTTCCAGCCCCTGCACTGCTCTTAAGCATGTGCTCATGTACACAAACACACTATCATTACATTACTTCCCATGAAGTACTTTTGCTCTCTCAATCCATTTTTGCACTATTTCTGTTTGCACTACTCTCATCCTATCCACCGTGTGCCTTATGACTGCATACATGTTGTACTGTGTACTATGTCTTGAGTACTTAATATTTTGCGTACCTATATGTTTTGTTTTTGTGTCCTTATATGTTTACAAGGGATCAGAGAGAAACAGCCTTACAATCCCACCTATGTCCTGTACATATGGCAGACTTGACAATATTTGACTTTGACTGCACACCCATATTTCTAAAAAGACACATAATTTCAAATCTTGAGGCAAAATGGTTTAAAATGTTTGAATTTCAGTGTAAATACAGATGAAAAGGAAATCTAAAATGTATGGCTGCGTGTGTTTGAAATGAAAAAAACATTATGCATTTGAAATGATGTGAATGAGAGATACTCTGTTTGAGTTACCATGTAGTATCCAGGGAGCAGCTTCTGTAGAAACTCAGCCTCCTTGTGCTGGACGGTTTTGATGATGAACTCATCATCACGGGTGACGTAAAATATGGAGCCACTTGCTCCTGGATTCGTCAACTCAATCAACGGCTCATTACAGAGAGAATACTAAAAGGAGCAGGGACACATAGGAATGAATATAGATTAGAATATGTCAGACAATTTCACTCGAATCTTTGAAAAGACAGTTTTAACATAGCTACAAAACAGACTTGTTTTTTTTTAATCTTTCTTGCTTTGAAGAAATGATCTGTCCCTCTAGAAAAGGTGTTGAAAATGTTGAAAATTTGTTAGGTGTTGTTTGTTTCAGCTGAATTTCATCCTAAATTTAACACGTCTGTGTTTCCTGCAGGGCCGCAGTGCTCACCTTGGATCTAAAACAGCTTTTATATAGCCAACAAAATACCAACATGTCAACCCCCTCACAAAGTACTGCTCATAAGCAGCAAAAGGGAACTTTGTTTTTGCTGTAGTAAGGGCGTATTATGAAAGTAAACACGGTTTGACATTTATTTCCAAACATCAGTAAAAGCTACACTCGGTCAGTTCTATGTGCTTATGCTGATTTCTCTTACTTTGTATTGGAGCTGAATGCAGAGTGGACTATTAGGATTTGAAGTGAACAATATTAAACTGCACAAGTGGCAGCTCAACGTGAACAACAGCATCAGTGGGTTTGAATTCATACCAGACGTCTCACAGCCAATAAGACTTAAATGAGAATAAGAGTCTTAAGTTAAAAAGTGAGGGAAAGTGCCTGTTGCCTTTGTTAATTTGTCAAACCAAGTAAATCAATTTTCTGTGGCTTAGTCAACACAATGCAAGTAACACTGGTACCCCCCCACCAACACAAACACATGCAGACACACACCACTCACTGAGTGTCTGCTGCACTACTTGAAGTTTAAAAAAGGCAGCTGTAGTCTTCTAATCTCCCTCTGGCACAGGGAGAGAGTGAGCTTAAACATGCAGCTGAGTTCACTGTATGTCACTACATGTGAGCGCATGTGGGAGGGGGGTGTGTGTGTTTGTGTGTGTGTGTGTGTGTGTGT